ATATTCTCTTACCACATAGTATTTCTAAAATTATAAAAGGAAATGTTCTTTGTTCATTTATTCCGACTGCTGATTTTTCCATGGAGTTTTCCTTAATTTCCCTTCTTTTAGTTACTTTTTTACTTATTTGGCATATTTCAAGGTGATGAGAGCAAGTTGGGTTTATATACCACCTCTCAACTATCTTGCCATAATTCCTTCTAAAAACCATTTTAGAAATCCCCTGGTGATTTAACATCTTTTTACATGGATTAATCTCATTTTAATTTTGTGTAGCCCACAAGCCAGATTTGGCTTATTGTCTTTTTTTTGTATGACTCAGCTAAGCATATTTTTTTTCATTTTAAAATAAAGTTTTATTGTATTTATAAGTTAAAAACTATTCCGTACAGTAAAAAGGCAGCAGGCCAGATTTGGCCCTTGATTATAGTTTGCCAGTTCTTACCTTAGTGGATGAATCACAGAACCAAAAATCTTTTAAAGGATATTAAAAAACACCTAAAACACTACATGTGTAGAAGTGAGTGTGCCAGATATCTTTTCTTGGATTCTTTGCTTACTTGACTTCACATAGCTTTAAGAAGTAATTTTAATCTTTGCTGCTATCTTTACCAGAAGTTAATTAAAAATTGTTTAAAATGAAACTTACGTTTACTGGAGGGAAAAATAGACAACTCTGTACCCAGTATAGTGGAAAGAGCTGCAGATTGGGATTCAGTAGATCTGAGGGCTCTGCTACTAACTAGCCGTGTATCTTTGGATAAATCATTCTCTGGGCTTAAATTTCCGAGTTTATAAATTGAGGGTTAGATCATATAAACCCTTATGTCTTTTTCTGCCCTTAAACTTCTATGGGTTTAAATTTCTGATTTTATCCTCTTAGTCTATCCACATTATTATTTAATAATGGGACATTCCCAGTGTTTTTCCACCAGAGGGCCTCAGTCCTGCATGGGAGAAACCATCCCTGTGAATGAGAGGGGAGTTTGATTTCTCCGTTGATAGTTTGCCTGCCAAGAAAGCTGTCTTTTTTTTTTTAATTTAATAAACATGAAGCCTGTTTCTTTATATGTGTCACCTAGTTCATTCTTACTCCATCCCCACTTCCCATTCCTATCCGCTAGCTAAGATCAAACCAGAGTTCAGAAGAAGCTTATCAGTGATGATGGACCTAGAAATTATTTTAGTAACCTTGCCAGCATTTTATTTTTAAATGTTAAGTATAAGTAAGGGTTTGCGCTAGGAAGACATCATAAAATGACCACTACTAATTAGGAAACTTGAGTTCTAGATCTAGTCCCTCTTCTAGTAACTTGGTGCCATTGGTAAACAGATCACTTCTCTTCTCTGCTCTTCATTTTGCCCACCTTTCTAGGAGTGGGGTTAGACAAGATGGACTAACGACCCTATAATAATCCATTATCTTGAAGGGGGCTTAACTACCTGCACTTTTATGTTATTCTTCTCTTCCTGAATTGTGCTAAAGAATTTTATCTAACTTAATCTGAAAAGGCAGTATTATGTAAACTTTAGTCTGTGATTTCATTGGTATAAGGAATTTAACCTATGTTTACCACCAGTTAGGTCAGATAATCTCTAAGGTCCCTCTACTTTCTAAAATTATATGTTTCTCTTGCTGTATTATAAGGCCATTCTTTGAAAAGGTGCTTATCTTTACACACACAAAAACGATTAACATTTTACAGCCTAGGCTAGCTGGTATTATTTTGTGATAAAAGCAAATTTGCAAGTCTTTAAAATTAGGGAGAATCATGGATTCTCAGAATTGGAAGGAACCAATGGCGCCATCAGATCCACCCTTACTGAAGCATCAGTCTCCTCCATAATATCCCAAGCCAAGTGTTCGTGTAGCCTCTACCTGAACACCTCTTACAATGGAAAGCTTATTATCTGAATCAAACCATTCCAGTAATTGCTAAGATGTTCTTCCAGTTATTGAGGTGGAATTTACACCCCTTTTACTTGTAGACATTTTGGCCTTGGTCTGCTGTCTTGAATGAAGAACAAATCTATTCCTTTTCCTATATATACCTTTTACTTGTTTGAAGGTGGTAATCATAGGATTAGAGCTTGAAGGGACTTAGGGGTCATTGAGGCTGTCTCCTCATTTTACAGATAAAGAAACTGAGGCCTAAGAGAGAACAAGTGATTTGCCCAAGATCACATAGGTACTCAGCTGCAGAGTTGGGAATTGAACCTAGATCTTCTGATTCCTAATCCAGTGTTCTTTCTACTGTATGATACTACCTCATAGTCCTACTGTGTCTTCTCTGCTCCAGATTACACATCCTCATTTCCTTCGATTTCAATAGATCCATGTTATGGCATGACTTTAAATCACCTCACAATTTTTGTTATTCTCCTTAGGTCACACTTCAGTTTGTTAATATCCTCCTAAAATTGGGCATTAATTACTTTCATATCATAATACTCCAAAGGTGGTCTGACTAGGCCAGAATACAGCGGTACTATGATCTTCTTTATTCTGGCTAGTTTTCTCTGGACCTCAGTTTCTCCATTTGTAAAATAGAAGGATTGAACTAGATTAGAACTGAGACTACTTTTAAACTTTGACATTTTATACTTAAATATTTGATGGATTAGGATATGATCATCTTGGGGAAATTTTATATGTGAATTCCTGATTGCAATTTTGTAGCTAATTCTCAGGTACCTTAGGCTGCATATAGAGATTATAATATAAACTATGGGGGGTTAAATTTGAAGCAAACCTTTCCAGTTCCAACTCCTATGTCCTTTTGTTTCTGCTGAAGATCCTACTTCGTTTCTAGTAAAGCAGTTTTGCAAAACACCCATCTTTTCCAACATAAGACTTGAATTCATTCTGTTATCTTGTTACCACCCTCTTTTAACAAACTTACTTTTTTTTTTTTTAAGGCAGTTGGGGTTAAGTGACTTGCTCAGGGTCACACAGCTAGTAAGTGTCAAGTGTTACGTGTCTGAGGCCAGATTTGAACTTAGGTCCTCCTAACTTCAGGGCCAGTGCTGTATTCACTGCACCACCTAGCTGCCCCAACAAACTCACTTCTTAATGTGGTTTTTTCTTTTGACCCTTGTAGTTTGCTTAAGACACCAACCATTATCAATTCGGCTTGATTCCCTATATATGCCATCATGAAAACCAAGTGAAAAAGAAGTTAGAAATGAATAGCAGCATAAAAAGAGTGTCCCAGACTTTCACAGACTGATTTCCTTTTAGCTCTTTTTCCCCCCCAGATTTGCTTTAGATCTGCTCTGGGTCTATGTTTATTTTTATGCTACTTTGAAGGTTTTAATCCAGTATCATATGTGGATGAGAGGGGAATGAGAGTGGTTTTGTACCTGTAGTGATCAAGGGTTGTTTTTAAAGTTGTTATTCTGTACATCTTTTGAAAAAGATAGGAGTCTGAGATCTCATAGTTCCACATATCAATGTCAATAACTTGCATTCAGGTGAAATTTAATATCTTCATTTGGTTTCAGGTATCATGTGGACAGAGGGCATCTGCCATGGATGGCAGAGGTTTAGCTATTAGGGTTTGCACTGTTTGACCTGCTCTGTGGTTAATTGAAAAGTGTTCTGTCCTTATGAGCAGGTTATATACATTATGAGATTACAACATATACTGTGGCTATATTCAGTGCAAAGGAAAGGCCTAGAACATGATGCCAGTCGAAATGGCCCTTCTTAGAGTTGTAGGAAAAGGAGAACAAGCCAGTCGTGGTTTATATTTGTAACCTGTTTATATGGTATGATGTTGGAAGAAAAATCACAATTTTGACTTTTAACAAAATGAGTCACTTGGAGTTGTTTACATGGAGTGTGTATTTCATTTGAAATGGGATTTGTTCTGCTCTCAATTATTGTACCCCCTGTTTATTTTACTAGATTTTGCAAAGAGACCTTTGATCTAATTATTCAATCAACAAGCATTTCTTACTCACCTAGGTCTACAAAGACAAAAGGGATATAATGCCTGACCTCAAGGAGTTTACTTTCTGAGGGATTAGACAACACACACACATACATATATACGTAAGGAAGATAAAAGATGTAGGAGAAGGCACTGGCAACTGTGTATGTGTGTGTGGTGGGGGAATAAAGAGGATGGACTTAAAAAAAAAAGACCTCATGCAGAAAGTGAAATTTGAGCTGAATCTTTAAGGAAATATGAATTGTAAGAGGTGGCGTTGAGAAGATGAGCATTCTAGCCACTGGGGACAGCTAGTACACAGGCATGGGCATGGATGGGAGGTGGAGTATCTTGTGTTGAACAAAGATGGTGGTTCTTGGGAGGAGGGGGATCTGTAAGAAGTCTGGAATAGTAGTAGGGGGCCAGGTTGTGAAGAGCTTTAAGCCAGACAGAAAAGTTTAGATTTGATTCGGTGTAAACCCTTGTCATTGCTCGTTGGTAAGATGTTTGCTCTGAAGGGCAATGCCCTGATGAAGTGGGGGAGTATTTCCTTAGCTAGAGCCCTGACTTTTTATGCATCTCAGACTATTTTTATGCTGCCATATATCTACTATTGAATCTTCTGCCCACACACTTTATCTGTAATCTTGTGTTCTTTTTGGCTCATGTAGCCACTTAGTAACATTTAAAGAGTGAGGCAGGTGTAACTAACTTCCAGTAGAGCTACAGGAAAAATATTGTACCATGGAAAGGTAAGTGTGGAGACATCCTGGGGAACCTTGTGTAACTGCCTCAATTGGCACTGGTTTTTAGGTTTTGATTTAATTCTGCATATTTCCTTTGGTTATCTGCACTGAAGTTTCAAAACATGAGACTGCTAGCCTTAGATCATTATTTTCAGTGGGAACATTTTAATAAAAATGAATAGTTTGCACAGGAAAACTGCTTGCTTAGACTTTGGTTAACAGCTTTTACTTAGGCAAATTGTGTTTAAATGTGAATCTACAATTGTTTAATAATAATACACACCAGATGGAAACCCTATCAAATTCTGTGTGCATACAGGAACTTGACGAGAGGAGTCGGTAGATTTAGAGAGATTCTAAGAGCTGTTGAAACAAGAACCACACAAAACCTGCGAATGGTAAGTTTGGCTTGTTGAAAATCAGTAGGGGTTAGATATAAAATATGTAGCATACAGTTTGTTATGACATAGATTTGCATGTATCCCCAAGTAAGCTCAAATATAAAGCAACTAGACTCAGTGAAAAGCTAATATGAGAGAGTTTGTTTGTAGGGTCAGTATTAGTTCTGTCCTGAGACATCAGTATATTTAAAGGGGTTCTAATGTGTGTGAATTTATTCAACAGACATTAAGTACCTATTATGTTCAGAACACCTGAGATAATAAACATTTAGTACCTACTTATGAGTACTTACCCAGAAGGGATACAAAGTTTAGATGAAACGCTCTCCTTTACCCTCATGGAATTTATAGTTCAATAATCTGCAAAAACTCTGTGTGTGTGTGTGTGTGTGTGTGTGTGTGTGTGTGTACATGCACATATATATATACACACATGTATATTTTACATGTACACATTTAGAGTTCAGTAGTCTGTGAATACTGCATATGTATATAGTATTCACATATTTACCTAGTACTTAACAGTCCAAAAGTCTGTGTATGTGTATGTGCATGCGTGCCTGTGTGTGTGTATGTGTGTGTATAGACAGAGCTAGTACACATGAGATATTTGTATATTCTTAGATAATAAATTTATATAAATGTGTGTATACAGTTTTCACAGACTATTGAACTATAAGTGTGTATCTATCTATATCTATAACTATATATGTATTTATATCTTTATATATGTAACCAAATGGGAGTGATCAAATTTAGCATCAGCATGTTGCCTCTGGAGGATCATTGTGAAGTTTTACTGATTTATTTGTTTTTATAATTAGTGGCACAGAAACATGAATATGGTTTAAAATATGATGTTGCTTGGCTCACCTATCCATTCATTTATTCTCTCTCTTACTTTTTTTGAGCCCTTAGTTTCCTCTCTGGTGTAAAAAAAAAAAAATGAATGAGAATTCTCTAGGTTTATCTTGCCAGTAGCTCCTGGTCTGTGTTGGCTTCTGTTCCTTGAAAGTTGTACCAGTTGATAATAGCGCATAATAGACTTAAACCAATATGAGTAGATTGAAATGTCTGGTTTTTCCTCTCACCATCTAGGACATCTTCTACCTTCTTCACAGACCTATCATGAATCCTTTAACTGCAACACAAGAGTGTTAGGTGAGGAGGCATCACTCAGAAGTTCTCAGCATGAAGTGGGTTTCAGGGGGAGCTTGCAGAATTTCATTGCCTAGAGAGTCTTAGGAAGGGGCCAGACAACCTTTGGTGCTTGATGCAGTCTTTACTGGAGGGCTGGGAGGGGCGTAGATGAGCCTAAATATCCTCCTCTTTGGTGAAGGCTCATATCACTTTGAACTTCTTTTTCACTTTGGCACTCTGCTTTATAATTACATTTGTGTACTGTATTTGGAGTCAGCATATTTGATTCGGCCACTGCTTTTCTGTTTCCATTTTGAAGTTACTTTATTGGTCTGGGCCTCAGAAAGTGCTTTCTAAATGTGAAATCACTGTATAGATGTGAAGCAGCACCAGCAACCTCACAGTTATTAGCAGCAGTAGAGAATCAGTACAACCATATTTCTACTACTTACTTCACAAGAGTTTTATGAAGATCAAATGGGGCAATGTGTATAAAATACTTTGTTATAAACTCTATGAGGGTGGGGACTGTGTCTTATCCCTCTTTGTATTTCTCTTAACATGTAACGCAGTGGCTTGCACACAGCAGCAATAAATGTTTGTTGCATTGAGCTGTCATTCTATGTAGTAAATACTTGCTTCGTAACATTTATTTTTGTTAAGAAGTTCTGATAGAACACTTCAATTAGGAAAGATTCTTTAAAAATAAATAGAAAGAACAGCACATATATGGGTAAACCTTGTTCCCATGTGTTCTTTTTCTCTTAAATTTATTTCCCCCAGTATATTCCTTAAAATTTCTTACTTGATCAATGTGTAAAGGCCTTCAAAGATTTCCATTCATTATTAAAATGGCAAATGTTTTTTATAGCTTTTTAAAAAGGAGAATGAAAACCCAGGTCTTAAGAACTGGTTAAATATGGAACATAATCATGACCCACATTATTATTATTTCATTAGGGTAAATGAATTACTTTTTTTGTACTTGAAGGATGAATTGAGTCCTACCAAGGATATTTTCTGGCTACTGATTTCAAACCTGGTTTGGCAAATGTTTCCCATTCCAGTCTAAAGGACTTGTAATTCTTTTTTTCTTCTCAATTTCATTTGCCTCTTTGAGGGTTTGATAGGAAATAGTTTAGCTTAGAAGTAAGCAAATAATGGGAGGAAATTGTATTGATCGTTTTAGTTGAGGAGAGAGACTTTTATAGGGTCAACACAGAAAAGCTAAGTGTATTCAGGAACTCTTTTTGATAGCAGGCCAAAATCAGAATGAATTGGTTAACATTAAATAACCTTTAATCATTGTTTGTTAGAAATCCAAATTCTACTTCAGATATGAATAGCTCCTGTGCTATCTTGTTGTTCATTTACTGTAATTGACTTTGATTAAATTGTTCATACCTCTGGTCCTGTATTTACTGGTGTTTTGACTGATGTAAAACATTGGGCAGGTCCTTGGACTGTCAGGCAAATGTTAGGCCATTTTTGAACATCACCTATGACAGTACTATGCTATTTTAAAGATGAATTAACGAATAACTACAAATTGAGTCTTCATTGCTTTCCTTAGGGTGGGATTTTGCCAGAGCAGAAGCTCCTTTAGAAAAAAAAAATGCTTCTTTTTCATGTATCAACTTAGGTCTGATCTTCCTACCTTTTAAAACCACTTTCTAGGTTATGTATGTTGTTCAGTGGTTTTTTAGTTGTGTCTGACTCTTCATGATCCCATTTGGAGTTTTCTTGGCAGATACCGGAGTGGGTTGCCATTTTTTCTCCTGATCATTTTACAGATGAGGAAACTGAGGCAAACAGGGTTAAGTGACTTGCCCAGGGTCACACAGCTAGTAAGTGTCTGAGGCCAGATTTGAAATCAGGAAGATGAGTCTTCCTTACTTTGGCCCAGCACTCTGTCCACTGTGCCACTAGTTACCCCAGTTATGTATAGGTGTGATATAATAGAAAATGCTCTGAACTCTGTTACAGGCTTTGTGGTGTAGACATTTAACCAGCTCAAAAATGTGGGTGATCACTCTTGTGCTACCTTATTCATAGGGTTTTTCAATCAAATGAGATCATTACTATGCAGTATTTAGAGCACTTTACAACTATGAAACATGTGATATATGGAACCTCCTACAGTTTTTACATTGGTTGTTGTGCTTATTTGTGGTGAACCTTAGAGACACCGAATGTTAGAGAGGAAAGGACCTTAGAAATAAAGCTATTCCAGGGTTTCCCAAATGGGACTTTGGATCAGTAAAATATCTTGGTGGTCTCCCACTAATCTCTGGGCTCTTCACAGTGTCAGTGTGTCAGTTTTCAGCAGTTCTGGGACATGGACCCAGAGCCGAGGAGAAAAGAAGATGGAGATGAGACGAGTAAGATCAAAGAAAAAGAGAAAGTGAAGGAGTCGTTTTATTAAGCTCATACTCGGGTGAAGGTGTTGAGAGGAAAAGTTTTGTGGACTAGTGAAAATTTTGCCTTAGGCTTGTGAATGGGTCTGCAGACTAGCATTTGGGAAGCACTGATTGATTCAGTCCAACTCTTTATTTAATAGATAAGGGAACTAAGTCCCAAAGAGAAAAAGTTAGTTGGTCAGTTAGTGGAGGACTGAGGCTTCAACTCTAGTCTCCTGGCTCTTCTTCTGATTTTCCCTTTATTGTCAACTACAACTTAAAGGTGACACGGGTATAAAAAGGTGAGTTAACGCCCCAGCATTTGGGTGACAGCATCTCTTGGAGCTCTTCCTCTCTTTATCAAGGCAAGCACGAGGACCAGTGGGCTCCCTGGGGCTGGGCAGAGGGGCGGAGGGGCGGAGTGCAGTGAGGAGATAGTCTGTTTAGTGGGAGATGAGGAAAACACATCAGGTAGAAGTTCTTAGAACCTTTGAAATCTCCCAGTAGCTATTGGGTACAGCCTGTGGGAGATTTTTTATCTCTTAGTATTTGTTCTTTGGTTAGTGAGAAGAGGTTATCCTCTGCTGGCCTCAGCTTTCAGGGGAAGTCGTTAGTTTATATGACTGAAATGAGATTAGAATGGAGCTGTAACAGAAAGTTTAAGGAAAACAGTGTGGGAACTGTTTAGTTTCTCAAAATTGCATTTGTATCATATCTTAGCAAAGACCTCTGTAGGGGCTAGCAAGTATGCATTTACTTTTAAAATTTTATAGATATTTAAAAGCTATTGGGACTTACTTAGAAATGATAGAAGAAACTTTGTCACTACCTAGTGGTTATCAGAAACCACTAAGCCAGTGATTTGGTTGCATTTAAGTTTCCATGTGGTATTTTAAAAGATTTCAAATTGATGGAAACCTAAAGATAATCCTCTTTTAGAATATTTTTATTATTAGAAAACTCATTTGCATAGAAAATCAGCCTCTTGTATGGACTAGAGAGAAATGAAATTCTGGCTTTTAGGGAGTGTTCTAGCTTACTGCCTTGGACATACAGTAGTAGTGGCTTAGTATGTATTTGGTACATGAGCAAATACTTTTAAAAATCTTCATTGCAGGGTTTTATGTGAGAGGGATATATTTGGAAATGAAGGGGATTCAAAAACAAAAGGTATTCATAAAAAGGATAATTTAAAAAAATAATAATTCAGTCTAGTAGTTATGCTGTGACCCTCATAGCTTGAGAAGATAAAATGTCTTAAAGGGTTAGCTTGATGAGTAGGATTTGAATTGTGAAGTAAAATTGGTCTTATCAACATAGATCCACAAAACAAATTCAAGCAGGACAAAAATTAGAAGTCACTGTGAAATTGCTGACTTGAAGCTCTCAGTGTTGCATACAGTCTTTATTCCTTTGTTAAAGAGTCTTGGGTTGATTGTCCATATGGCTCCATTGCCC